ATATATATATACATACAAATATATATATATATTTTTCTAAACCTTGATCACTTAATTAAGGTGGTGTTTTTCCAGGCTTCTCCACTATAAAGTACTATTTTTCTCTTTGCAATTAGTGAGCAATTTGCGAGGAGATGCTTTCTGACTGCCTAAGTAGCCTGTCTCTCATTAAATGTTCATCCGTTGATAATTTCCTAGCTCTATTGTGTCAAGTGATAAATGTAGAAGTGATGGAGAGAGCAAATCAGAACTGTTTTTATAAAAAATAATCTGCCACTCTCCCTTTACTAGCCTACAATATATCTCATAGATCAGGGGTCCTCAAACTTTTTAAACAGGGGGCCAGTTCACTGTCCCTCAGACCGTTGGAGGGCCGGACTATAGTTTAAAAAAAAAACTATGAACAAATTCCTATGCACACTGCACATATCTTATTTTGAAGTAAAAAAACAAAACGGGAACAAATACAATATTTGTATTTGCATGTGGCCCGCGGGCCGTAGTTTGAGGACCCCTGTCATAGATGATATAACGTACCTACACTTAACTTCAACTGTAACATAAAGGAGAAAGGAAAGAAGAGTGACTTATAGTAAAAATGATACGTATTTCAGGAAGGAGTCAGGTTTGAGGAGTCCTGGAGATAGGGACAGCCACTCCACGCAGAGGTGGCTTACTGATGGCTCGGATGCAGCCAGGGGCATATGTCAGTAACATGACTTTTGAAAATGGTGAACAACTCTTGGTGAAGTTTGAAACAAAATAGAGCACAATAATCCCTCAGTTTACTTCAAATACATTAAAATAGTGCATAAATCATTTGATTTTAAATCTAAAACATGTACATAGGATTTGGACCATTATAAATAAGTTTTTACCTACATGGATGCTAGGTAGGGCGCTCAGCAAGTCCTATGGGATGCAGAATAGGACTTTGCACTGTGGCACCAGCCTGCTCATTCCAGGACATCGGCCATCTCTGGCCCACACCCCTAAATGTCTTTAGTATTCCGTCACCAAAAAGCCCCCACAAATGTCCAAAATGTCCCCTGGACGGGCTAACGTTGTTTGGGAATCACTGTTTTAAGATTCCTGCCCTCCAACCAAAAAAAAAAGATAGAAATATATACATACTGACTTTTGGTGTTCCTTAGTAGCTGTCTAGTCTCTCCCCTGTATGCTAGACTCTGTTGCATCTTATAGGCCTTGGACACATGAGACTTTTCTACCTCCACAGATGCATAATGTGTTGACTGAGTTTTGGGAGGTGAAATAGCATGATTCCCCCACACTTAGCACTTCACGGGGATGGATACGAAGATTAATGTCTCCTTCAGTTATGACCAGAGAGACAAGGAATGTTTCCCAGAACTCAAACCAAACATTCCACACACTTCTCCCCCTCCCATCTTGTAGGTGTCTTTGACTTTGCTATCAAAGGTTTTGCCCCTGGATGCCCCTGAATTTAGATTAAAATCTGGAACAGAAATGTGACCCAAATAATAAGAAGGTCTGGGTTTTGAGAGGCCATCTTACCCCATTAAAGAAGAATTATAATCCAGGACTCGAGTGCCCAGCAATGCAGTTGCGGAGAACCAGTCTGTCGCTAGTCTAAGTAAGGATGTTTTGACAAAGGTGGGCCAGGTCCACCTGATTCATCGATCTGTTAAAAACCATAATAATAACGTGAACTAGTCAAAGGAATTTTAAGGAAGGAGAAATCTGTTTGATCTGAGGGGTTTTTGTTGACTGTTTGGACAGACGTGGTAACAAAAACGTGCCCCATCACATGTCGTCAAGTTAGTATTGCTTGAGTCAGTTTCTCCTCTGCCTTCTCAGGCCTGCCATCAGTTTGTCTTCTTTACACGCTTTCATGCTCCAACTTTTGAGACATGATGAGTCTGACTTCTGAGCTGACCAAATGATTTCATCACATTCATGCTTTTCTGAAATCACATTTACAAACTTTCATGGGTCAGCCGCCGAGAGCAACTAACTGGAGATGCCTACCGAGCGAAGGCCAAAGGTGGGGCGCATTAATTTTGTGGCCTTTTCCTTGTTTTTTTTTGAGATTGTTTTGTGCACCCTCCCCTGATCGAGAAGTTTCTTCCTCAGGAGCCTTCTGGGTGCTTTGACCTGGGTCAGTTACCTCTGTGGCGTGTGGCCACATGACAGACTGTCCCAACAGGACAAAAATGAGTTGATTATTTGAGCTGAATTTCCCGGGAGTTTCCCTCACAATGTAAGAGTCAGAACTCATAGAAAACTAGAGCGTGCAGCTTCCACTGTCCTTTGTGGTACCATCCATTCATCCTAATGTTGACAGAAGTCCCTTTATGCTTCCGGTGCTGAGCGAGACTGACAGTGTTCCCACGCCCCGGCAGGGCAAGATGACTCAGAGAGTTCAGGATGAGGAGTTGGGTGACCTGGGCCCCCCTTCTCGTGCCACCTCTTACCAGCTGGCATGTTTGAACTTCACACTCCTTATAAAAACAATCCCTGTTTTGTCTACAGTACAATGTGATTGTGAGGGTCAAGGAAAACAAGAAAATTCCAATGATGCTTAAAACACCTTTTTTTTTTTTTTTTTACACTGAGACACTGGGCAGCATTTTTGAGACCACGTATCTGAGAATTAAGTTTTGGGACCTCCCAGGGCAGCTGAGAGGACCCAGTGTTAGTTCCAGAGCGAACCCTCTGAATGGGATGAATGGGCACGAGAATGAGCTAGCTGTCCTATTGTCTCTTCAACCTCAAAATGTCAACATTGAAGTCATCACATCTTAACCGTGGTTTTAGGCCACCACCTGCCCTTCGTGGTCCTCTCTGACCCTAATACCCCAGTCTTGTGGAGTTGACAGGACCTTTCTCCCCAGTATGGTCTTGGCTGCAGTGGCAGGGACAGACAGGGACAGTGTGGACATGCTCTGACAGCTATGCTTCCCTCCATTGTCTGCTCACAATCCTGTTTACCAAGTCTGCTGAGATGGAGATGAGCTAGAGTAGGTTTTCACCAAATAATTCAGAGTGTGGTGAACAAAATCAATGGCAAATGATGAAATGGGAGAAAAAGAAGCTGATTTAGGGTTAGGTCAGTGGTCGGTAAACTGTGGCTCGGCAAACCGCAGTTCGCGAGCCATATGCGGCTCTTTGACCCCTTAAGTGTGGCTCTTCCACAAAATACCAGCTCTTCCACAAAATACCGACTTCTGCGCATGGGCCACGAAGTTTCAATCGCACTGTACATGCGCACCTGCACATGGTATTTTGTGGAAGAGCCACACTTAAGGGGTCAAAGAGCCGCATATGGCTCGCGAACTGCGGTTTGCCGAGCCACAGTTTACCGACCACTGACCTAACCCTAAATCAGCTTCTTTTTCTCCCATTTCATCATTTGCCATTGATTTTGTTCACCACACTCTGAATTATTTTGTGAAAACCTACTCTAGCTCATCTCCATCTCAGCAGACTTGGTAAACAGGATTGTGAGCAGACAATGGAGGGAAGCATAGCTGTCAGAGCATGTCCACACTGTCCCTGTCTGTCCCTGCCACTGCAGCCAAGACCATACTGGGGAGAGAGGTCCTGTCAACTCCACAAGACTGGGGTATTAGGGTCAGAGAGGACCACGAAGGGCAGGTGGTGGCCTAAAACCACGGTTAAGATGTGATGACTTCAATGTTGACATTTTGAGGTTGAAGAGACAATAGGACAGCTAGCTCATTCTCGTGCCCATTCATCCCATTCAGAGGGTTCGCTCTGGAACTAACACTGGGTCCTCTCAGCTGCCCTGGGAGGTCCCAAAACTTAATTCTCAGATACGTGGTCTCAAAAATGCTGCCCAGTGTCTCAGTGTAAAAAAAAAAAAAAAAAGGTGTTTTAAGCATCATTGGAATTTTCTTGTTTTCCTTGACCCTCACAATCACATTGTACTGTAGACAAAACAGGGATTGTTTTTATAAGGAGTGTGAAGTATATTTTTTTTTCACATCTTTATTTTTTTTTAAATATATATATTCTGTTGATTTCAGAGAGGAAGGGAGAGAGAGATAGAAACATCAATGATGAGAGAGAATCATCGATCGGCCGCCTCCCGCACGTCCCCCACTGGGGACCGAGCCCACAACCCACACACATGCCCCTGATTGGAATCGAACCTGGGACCATCTAGTCCACAGGCCGACGCTCTAGCCACTGAGCTGCCGGAAGCCGGTCCATCCTTGCTGCTTGACACAGTCCCTGCAGGGAAGAAACATCTTCAGAGCATATGTTTCAAGGGACCTGGCGTATATAGCATACTGTTCTTACTATGTTTGCTCCCCTTCCTGGTGCTATGTGTTTTAACCAAGGTCACCTCTCCGAGAAAGGTTGTTTCCCCAGGTAGGGATTTTCCCCTGAAGTTAGGGAGGGTAGTTAATCACTTTAACTAAGAACAATCACGCTTAAGCTACATAATCTTTACTCCCTGGAATGGAGATAATAAATGCCCTAACCTTTGGAATAGAAATTGATAGGATTAAAATCAACTGGTATAAATACAGATGTAACAAGACAATAAAAAGCAGAACCTGGAAAAAATCGGTTTGGCTCTTCTTTAGGCAGCGGGAGCGGCATCACGGACTAAGAATCGGCCTAAGACTTCGGCATTGAGTGAAAGAAAATGGCCCGAAGCAAGCAGACTGCTCACAAATCCACGGGTGGGAAAATGCCCCGCAAACAGCTGGCCACTAAAGCTGCCAGGAAAAGTGCCCCCTCTATGGGCGGGGTGAAGAAGCCCCATCGCTACAGGCCTGGGACCGTTGCACTTCGAGAAATCTGTTGTTACCAGAAATCCACCGAGCTTCTGATCCTGAAGCTGCCTTTCCAGAGGTTGGTGAGGGAGATCGCCCAGGATTTCAGAACCGACCTGAGGTTTCAGAGTGCAGCCATTGGTGCGCTGCAGGAGGCTAGCGAAGCGTACCTGGTGGGTTTATTTGAAGATACTAATCTGTGTGCCATCCACGCTAAGAGAGTCACCATCATGCCCAAAGACATCCAGTTGGCTCGCCGGATACAAGGAGAGAAAGCTTAAGGGAAGGCAGTTTTTACGGTGTTTTGTAGTAAATTCTGTAAAATACTTTGGTTTAATTTGTGACTTTTTTGGTAATAAATTGTTTATAATATGTTGCATTTGTGCTTAAGTCATTCCATCTTTCACTCAGGATGAATGTGAAAAGTGACTGTTCACAGACCTCAGAGATGTGAGCACTTGCTCAGGAGTGGCAAGTTGCTAATATGCAGAAGGGATGGGTGATATTTCTTGCTTCTCATGATGCATGTTTCTTTTTTATTTAATTAAATCTTTATTGTTCAGATTATTACAGTTGTTCCTCATTTTAC